AGGGATAAATCCAGGAAAACAGGCAAAGATCAGAAACCGAGAAAACAGACAAGGCAAGGCAAGGCAAGGCAAGGCAAAACAAGGAAACACGGGATGGATAACAGAAACTAGGAATAATAACCGGTTAAGCACTACTCGGCAGAGAATGGTTGTTTGAGTGAGTGTTATATAGTAGACTCATAATAATGAACTGTGACTTGACCTGACTCATGATAATCAGCTGTGACTAGACTTGACTCATGACATTACATAAGAAATTATATATATATATATATTTTTTTTTTTAATATATATATAACAATTATGTCCCCCTCACTTCTGAAATGATGGCTACGCCCCTGGATTGTAGACAGGCGAGTATAACAGGGTGTTGAACAGGGAACACAGCACACAACAGCAGATCACAGCAGTAGAATGAATAGCAGGCAGCGAATGCAATGGAAACACAGCAGTGAGATATACAATACTGTGCGTCCCAGAACAATATCAGGCGTCCAAAGAGGACGACAGTAGGTCTACAGAGGATGGAGGAAAACATCCACAGAGGATGAACACACTGCGTGAGAGAAGCAGGGTCACATAAACTTGTGAACGCAAGACTCCAGCATGACAGAGTTTGTGAGGTAAGTGTAAGTAGCATCCCTCGATGAGTGTGCTGTTTGTGTGCAGGTGTAATTAATTTACAGTCCAGCAAGAGAACGGTGTGTGGAGCCTGGAGTCCAGATTATTTAACCAAGATTAACAAATGGACAGAATGAATAAGAACTATTTTTCATAACATTCTAAAGCACACTGAGGTTATTCTGTAATATTATTGATTTATTTATGTGTTTATTTGTTTGTTATAATTCCCATTATTATTATTTTAAAAATAATAATATTTGACAGTTTCCGTTGGGTTAATTATGATGATGTCAGCAGTGCGCTGAACATTAGCGATTTAAACGCGATAGTAGGCCTACTTGACATCATCGCGGGCTTTGCATTGACTGAAATGGCCAAGATGCTGCAGAGCGCAGCGCCTCCCGCGTCACGTGACCCGGTGTGTGTCAGCGCTCCAGCCCTGCTGCACATCATTTACTCGCATCACAGCTTTACCTCAATAACTCACCGTTTTCATCAGTCGACGGGAGCCACGGCGTGCTGGGTAAACCGATTTTCATATGATTTCAAACGGCTCTGTGTATGTGTTGTGTGTACTAGTCTATTCTGCAGAAATCCCATGTAGATGCACATCGAGATTATATCAGGCGTCCAAAGAGGACGACAGTAGGTCTACAGAGGATGGAGGAAAACATCCACAGAGGATGAACACACTGCGTGAGAGAAGCAGGATCACATAAACTTGTGAACGCAAGACTCCAGCATGACAGAGTTTGTGAGGTAAGTGTAAGTAGCATCCCTCGATGAGTGTGCTGTTTGTGTGCAGGTGTAATTAATTTACAGTCCAGCAAGAGAACGGTGTGTGGAGCCTGGAGTCCAGATTATTTAACCAAGATTAACAAATGGACAGAATGAATAAGAACTATTTTTCATAACATTCTAAAGCACACTGAGGTTATTCTGTAATATTATTGATTTATTTATGTGTTTATTTGTTTGTTATAATTCCCATTATTATTATTTTAAAAATAATAATATTTGACAGTTTCCGTTGGGTTAATTATGATGATGTCAGCAGTGCGCTGAACATTAGCGATTTAAACGCGATAGTAGGCCTAATTGACATCATCGCGGGCTTTGCATTGACTGAAATGGCCAAGATGCTGCAGAGCGCAGCGCCTCCCGCGTCACGTGACCCGGTGTGTGTCAGCGCTCCAGCCCTGCTGCACATCATTTACTCGCATCACAGCTTTACCTCAATAACTCACCGTTTTCATCAGTCGACGGGAGCCACAGCGTGCTGGGTAAACCGATTTTCATATCATTTCAAACGGCTCTGTGTATGTGTTGTGTGTACTAGTCTATTCTGCAGAAATCCGATGTAGATGCACATCGAGATTCACAGCGTTCATTAACACTCCAGATGCGCTCGTGCGATGATGATGAATATAGTTTCGGTTTTGTCCGAATGGATCGTTTCAATGGATCTGCTCTGTTCTCAATGGATTCAGGTGAGCTCGATCGCTGCTGTTTGATGGCATGCGTGCTTTAAAAGATTTATAACATGCAACACGATTGGCTTTAATATGTTCCTCTATAGAAGATGAGCTCATGTGGGAGTTCTCGAGCTGTGTATGGGGCGCATCACCTCTGATCGCAGCGATTACATCTGGAGCTTCATTCATATTGTATATCGTTTACTAGCTCTGTTTTAGTCTTTGTGTCTTACTATCGAACCCGTCTGAAAATGAAAGGATGAGCTCGTGGACTTGTGCTTTATGAACTATGCAAGGTCGTCGTACACGCAAACATAACAATCGAACCCAGACGCCCTTAAGGTGTTATCCAGAACACTGGGTTGCTATTGCTGTAAGAATCAGTCTTTATGGGCAACGATGTCGATTTTCATATGATTTCAAACGGCTCTGTGTATGTGTTGTGTGTACTAGTCTATTCTGCAGAAATCCGATGTAGATGCACATCGAGATTCACAGCGTTCATTAACACTCCAGATGCGCTCGTGCGATGATGATGAATATAGTTTCGGTTTTGTCCGAATGGATCGTTTCAATGGATCTGCTCTGTTCTCAATGGATTCAGGTGAGCTCGATCGCTGCTGTTTGATGGCATGCGTGCTTTAAAAGATTTATAACATGCAACACGATTGGCTTTAATATGTTCCTCTATAGAAGATGAGCTCATGTGGGAGTTCTCGAGCTGTGTATGGGGCGCATCACCTCTGATCGCAGCGATTACATCTGGAGCTTCATTCATATTGTATATCGTTTACTAGCTCTGTTTTAGTCTTTGTGTCTTACTATCGAACCCGTCTGAAAATGAAACGATGAGCTCGTGGACTTGTGCTTTATGAACTATGCAATGTTTACGCAAACATAACAATCGAACCCAGACGCCCTTAAGGTGTTATCCAGAACACTGGGTTGCTATTGCTGTAAGAATCAGTCTTTATGGGCAACGATGTTGATGTTCTAATCCGTGATGTACAGAGATGATTAAATATATAAAAGAGATGGGGATAGTTGTCACATGTCTTACTCCAGTAAATGTTAGTTTAGGTAGGTTTTTTCCTCCTTGCGTTAAAGTCTTGTCTACAATCAGACATTACCACCGTTTTTCCCACAAGAAAAAAAAAAAGTTCAGTTAATTAAACACATTGAACCTGTAGTGGGGCATGTTGTCACACTCTGGGAGGGGGTTATTGACAGTAATTACATCTTTGTATGACATGAAAAACCTACTTCTACAACATATCTGTATTTAAAATACACTATGGTATTTAATTATTTAATAAATAAATAAAAAGACGAAAAATAGAGAATGTTTTACAGAAATGTCAAACCTTTTTGGCCAAAATACACTGTAATTCATGAAATGACAACAAATAAATATGCTATTCCTTGATATAAATGGGACAACTTGCCTTGACCTGTGCATTTTTATGCAAATCCTGGCAAACACTTCAGTTCAGTCACTTTGCTTAAAAAAAAAGAAAAAAAGCATGTACTGCAGTGAAGGCCACTCACAGTCACGTATTATAAGCAATAGTAAATCAGTCATGTTTGTCTACTAGGATTTGTGTAAGTCAGTATTTTCCAACCCTGTTTCTGGAGGCACGCCATCACTGCACATTTTCTAACTCTTTTTAATTCCTAACACTTGATTCAACTCCAAAAGCTAAAAGAGAGGAGTCAGATAAGGGAGACATCCAAAATGTGTACCACTGGTCTGCATCCAGGAACAGGGATGGGAAACACTTCTGTAAGCAACTAATTCTTCCTTAGGATGTCAGAACGATTGTCAGATTAACTGCTATTTGTGTTTTTGTTTTTTCTCCAGTGTCAATGGCCGTATGTTGAGGGATCAGAGATGACGTCTGCTGCCTGCTTCTGCTGAAAGAGGATTTAACCCTTTAAAGCACTTATGGTCAAAACCACAGTTTCAGACAAAAAGTAACATGATGGATGACACTGAACAGTGTGGATACGGCAAAGCGTGGATGATAACTGAAAAAAATTAAATGCAGAACAAAAATAAGGTTGGTGACACGAGGAGAAAAGTTGTGAAATGGTCTCTATAGATGTTGAAACATCCTGAGAGAGACTGTCAGGTGGTTTATGTGATTTGGAAATTGTGGTCACTATTATATTTTGTCCATTCAAAATCTTACTAAGATTACTATAAACTCAGCCTGACTACATTATGATTCTTCAAATGCGACATGGTGCCCATCTCCTCTGGATTGGACTGGTTGTATGTGCTGTGGAAGCTGGAGCTAGTCTCCGGTTTACTGGCGCAGAGGGACAGTGGGCCTCGTTCCCCATGTGGAACGCTTGCTGTGAGAGCGAGATGAGCTTCAGCATGAAAACCAAGAATTTAAAGGGACTTCTGGTGTACTTTGATGATGAAGGCTTCTGCGATTTCCTCGAGCTGCACATACAAGAGGGGAAACTCAGACTACGCTTTTCTATTTTCTGTGCTGAACCTGCTTACGTACTTTCAGATGTTGTCATCAGTGACAACCAATGGCATGAAGTCACAATCAGGAGGAACTTCAGAAACACTACACTCATCGTTGACAAAGAAATAAAGTGGCAGGACGTTAAGTCCAAAAGGCGGGATATGACTGTCTTCAGTCACTTGTTCTTAGGAGGGATTCCACCAGAACTAAGATTGATGTCTTTACAGCTGACATTGGACACTGTGAAGGATCACACTGCCTTTATGGGCTGGATAACAGACTTGAAAGTCAGCAATTCAGAGCCTTTCATCATTAACAGTGCCGGGGTAAGCACTGACCTCTGTGGCTCACACAACATGTGCTTAAACGGAGGTGTATGCAGTGTTGTCAATAATGAGCCTACATGTGACTGCTCTGAAACCGGCTATCAGGGAAAGGACTGCGGTGAAGGTAAACTATCTTGATTCAGCAACATTGCACGTGATTGATAAAACTGCAAGTCATTTGCAAATCAATAAACAAGCCTAGACTATTTTTGCCTTAAAAGAAAGAGTTCCCTCAAAAATTTAAATGAGCTGAAAATGTGCTCACCCTCGGGCCATCCAAGATGTAGATGAGTTAGTTTTTTCATGGGAACAAATTTGGAGAAATGTAGCATTCCATCACTTGCTCATCAATGGATCCTCTGCAATGAATTAAAATTACCAAAATTAGAAATGTAAAAATACCAATACGGGTTACCAATTAATTGTTACTCATTGGGGATTTGGGTGGTCGAGGAGCTTTAGTTATGCACTACCTTAGTACAGCTTTTGATTTAATAGATCATGATATTCTCATTGAGCGCTTAGAACATGTTGTGGGTCTGAGAGGGACTGTTTTAAAATGGTTTTCTTCTTATTTGAAGGAAAGATCCTTTTCAGTGACAGTTGGGGAATTCCCATCCTCTGCTGTTTCTATTAACTGTGGAGTTCCTCAAGGCTCCATTTTGGGGCCTATTTTGTTTTCTTTATTCTCGCCAGAGGTGGAAAGTCCAGGGGTCAGAAAGTAAAAGTCCTGCCATATGTTTATTCCACTCATGAACTCAGCCAGCTAATTTCACTAATTAGTTCTACCTCCTGGCTGAAAAACTGTGCTAATTAGCAAATCCAGGTGATTGGAACAAAATACTGAGGAGGACTTTTGCTTTCTGAACCTGTACTTTCCACCTCTGATTCTCGCTGCCCTTAGGTCTTGTTTTAAAAAAAAAACAGCATGTCGTATCATCTTCATGCCGATGGTATTCATATTTATTTGCCTATTAAACCTGGAGGACTAACTTCTCATTCATCTTTGTTATTACGTCTTGTGGAGGTGAAGTGCTGGTTAGAGCAAAATCGCCTCCAGGTAAATGCGACTAAATCTGAATTTCTGTCATGATAAATGTAATGGGGCGAACGAGACGAGAGATGTGCAGATCCATCTGCAAAGCTTTATTTTCAAACATGGTCAAAACAGGCTTGGGTCAGACACCAGCAAACAGATATAGACAAGGCAAGAGTAATCCATATACAGGCATGGGTCAAACGACGGCAAACGTAATCCAGGGGGCGAGGCAAACGAGTAATCCAAAACATGCAATAATCCAGGCAAGGGGCAAACAGAGTCCAAATGACAAAACAAGAGAATAATCCAAGACAGGCAGGTGATCAAGAAACAGGCAATCAGGCAACACGACGTGACTAAACTAAGACTAGAACTTGGAACAAGAACTGGAAACTATGACTGAAAACTGGCTCCGTAATGTTGCTATCACCAGGAGAGAGATACATGCAAACAATACTCGGCGATTTGAAAGAGGAAGTCCATGGCTTATAAAGTGTCTTAGATTGGTTATAGCTGTGTGTGTCATTAGTGCAATGGATGCTGGGAAATGTAGTCCGTGGTGACATGTGGAAGTCTGTGTAGTGTGACAGTCAATATAATGGAAGAGCGATCTCTGATGGTAAGCGGATGGAAGTCCATGGGCAGGATTCATGACAATAACTCTCGGAGGCATTGGCATGGTAATGTAGATGACAATGTTAATGTGTTTATGGTTGCTTATCTTGAAATTAATTCGGCAGACCACACAATATGCACAGCGATATGGAGTAAAAGAGCATTCACTTAGGTATTAATTTCAGATGTTTCTGAAGCGTGCTGCAACTGCTACAGCAAGCACTAGCCAATTATTTAAATGTTGAGCAGCAAGCTCATTGACTTCTGATACAAAAAGAACCAATCAGCTGCTCCATGTGATAATGATGTCATTATGTCAGATTGAGTTTCATGCGAGAATTTTGGATTTTGGATCATTTTTAGGCCAAATCAGGTTGACAGTGACATAAAAGATGTTTTAGGTCCATGGTCAATGAATTTGCAGCCCCAGATAAGGAATCTGGATGTAATATTTGACTCTACCCCAAGATTTGATGATCAGATCAAATGTGTAGTGAAAAGTTGCTTTCTTCAATTGAAGACTATTGCAAAAATGAAGTCTTTTTTGTCTGTTGCTGATCTTGAGATAGTGATTCACACATTTGTCTCCTCACGCTTGAATTATTGTAATACACTTTATTTGGGAGTAAGCCAATCTCTTATTTCAAAATTGCAATTTGTCCAGAATGCAGCTGCACGGCTCCTCACTAATTCTCAATGAATGCAGTGAACTCGTTTATTGCATGTGCTGTGAGTTTAGCGCACGGAACGTAACGGCCACCAGTTAGGCTTTATTATTGCGGCAGATGTTTACAGCATTTTACTAGATTTGTAGTGAGACATTTTTGTAAGCACGTTTTCACTGAAACTGGAGTTTTCCTTCAAAATAAAAGCTCTAGTGCTGTTCCTGTCAAAATAAAAGCTTAAAAGTGCAGTAAGAATTGCTGACATCTAGCGGTTTAAATGTAGTCCAAATTCAAAATATATTAGGAAAGGATTATGTAATTTCCCTACTGTAGTTTAAAGCAAAAATAATATACCTATGAAATATTCATTTTCATTTATTTTACAGTGCAGTTGCATTTACAATATATGGCTATTACTGTCATTGTTGTTATTATTATATTCTAATTTGTTTGGCTTCCTAAAACACCAGTGTGAATGTAATTTAGACTGAGACAGTATATCACAAATAAAAAGAGGGTTGAGTCCCCTTTAAAGTTCAGGTACAAGTCAATTCACTCACTTTTTAAGTTTTCTTAGGAACATGGGTTGGAGCTCTTAATTTTGGACTCTCCAAGTGCATAGAATAATTTAACTTTAAAATTTACAAAATTGTCATTTTTTTCGCAATAATTTCTCAATAAATATTGTATCGTGGACTTCATATTGCAATATTATCGTATCGTGAGATTTTGATATCGTTACATCCCAGGTATACCATCAATTGATATTTTTAAATCTTGTTTGAAAACGTACTTTCTTTTAATTGTTGAAATTTGACATTCTTATTTTGTGTTATTTTCTCTTTGATGTTGCTATCTTTAATTTTTTCGGTTATTGTTACTTTTATTAATTTTGTCTTTTTGTTCTGTTTTTATCATTATTTGTATTTTTTACTGTAAAAACCTTTGGTCTAATTTGTAGTGGAAAGGGCTCTGTAAACAAACTAGACTTGAGCCTTAAATGGCCATCAGAATAAGTCCAAACAGCTGATAAAAACATCAAAATAATCCAAGTAATCCACACCACTCCAGTCCATCAATTAATGTCTTGTGAAGCCAAAAGCATGTTTGTAGGAAACACATCCATCATTCAGGCGTTTTAACTAAAATATAAGTCCATAATAACACTTCCTCTAGTGAAAAGGAGGTTTGGTCTGAATAAATGTATAATATAAATAGAAATCTGCACAGATCAAGCACCGTTTATAAGTGAAAACAGTCCAAAACAGCTCTAAATAAATATGCTTACATTTTTGCCAGAAGCAATGGTTTGAAGTTAAAAACGTCTTGATGGATTTGTGGACTGGTTGGTAATTGATGGACTGGAATGGTGTGGGTTACTTGTGGATTATTGTGATGTTCAGATATATTCTTTCAAACATTTGCAGTCACATTTCTTGTTATGCGTAGCTATTGTGCTACATAAATCAGAGACCTTTTCATATTTGTATTGCACTTTGTCTAAATGTTTACTTTCGTACAAACAAATAAGATGCAAACCAAGACGAGTTCAAGTTAAACATTCATTTTCAACTTTGATTATAGATTATGTGATTCTATACATTCAGTGTATGTATGTGGCAGATGATATTCACAGCATTTCCTTTTAAAGGGGTCATCGGATGCGACATGCACTTTTACAAGCTGTTTGAACTGAAATGTGTGTTGGCAGTGTGTGTACACAACCACCCTATAATGATAATGATCCTCCCGGTGTTTTTTTTTTAAATCTCGTTAAATCATTTCCCCTTTCTCAAATCGAGCCGATCCCAGATGCCTGTGTGTGACGTCACACAGACAGGCCCCTCCCACGATAGTTTGATTGACAGTAGTGTTTCAGCACAGACTGGACTGGTGTCTTACCTCAGAACGCCCTCAGTGAGCTGTCATCAGTCCGCCATTGTTTCACCGCCGGAGCAGATGTAGACAAGAATGACTCCTAAGCGATTGAGGTGTTTTGTTGTTGGATGTAATAATGAACATAGCAGTCGTCATTTACTCCCGACATCTGAGCCGCTGAAGACGCAGTGGATAACGTTTGATTCTGAACAGGGCCGGCGCTAGCTATAGGCAGAGCAGGCAGTTGCCTAGGGCCTCGGACTTTGAGGAGGGGCCTCCATAACCATAACATATATTGGCCAGTCTACTAGTCAAGACGGGCAGCAAAATAATATCTTATTGTGGCAACGTTTCGACCATCAGGTCTTCGTCAGGCACAAATTACGTAAACTGGTACAACTTTTTATAAGTAACAGGTGATCATTCTAATTAGACACATTCAATCACTGTGCAGGTACACTCCCACAAAGAGAGAGAGAGAGAGAGAAACGGCATTAAACTCGAATAAATACACAAATCAATACAGATCAATAATCACTCAAAATATTCAAACAATACTGAAGACAGATGAAAAAATACACACAATCCTATAGAAAAGGCCTAATATCAAAATCTTCATTCAAATCAAAAGGTGACAACGTATTTAGAGTATAAATCCAAAAACATTCCCTTTGTAAAAGTTTCCTCTCAAAATCTCTCCTCCTTGATGGTTTTTGTACCTTCTCTATACCAATATACTGTAAGGCACTAACATTGTGTCCCACTTTGTTAAAATGAGATGCTATAGGACTGCGTTCAACTCCCGTCCTAATATTACTCCGATGTTCAGTAATGCGGGTGCGTAATGATCTAGAAGTTTTACCAACGTAAGCGAGACCACACGGACAACGAATAAGATAAATCACATGTGTAGATGAACAAGTAATT